CAGTTTCAGGAAGCACCAGAGATTCAAGAACTGTGTCTGGTAACGTAAGACAAAACGGTGAGGACCCCTCTCTCCAGTCTCAACCCTCAGCTAGAGATGGAGATGTAAGTGTGTTGCATGCAGGAACGCTGGCTGGTGTTTTCCCTCGGGTGCCCAGCAGCGTGTAACCAGTGCTAAGTAGAAACAGCCAGGGCAGTGGCTCTCTCAGAACCAGCCCTTGACTAGCATCAGCCTCTGGGGTCTCAAAAGAAATGCAGCGGCCAGCGCTGTGGCGTAGTGGATAAAGCCACCACCTGTAGTGCTGGCATCCCATATGGGTGCTGGTTCGATTCCTGGCTACTCCAATTCCAATCCAGCTCTCTGCTATGGCCTGGGAAAGCAGTGGAAGATGGCTCAAATGCTTGGGCCACAGCACGCACGTGGGAGACCCGGAAGAAGCTCCTGGCTCTTGGATTCAAATCAGCTCAGCTCTAGCCGTTGTGGATGGAAGACTGTCTCCCTCCCTCCCTCCCTCCCTCCCTCCCTTTCTCCTTCTGCCTCTGCCTCTCTGTAACTCTGCCTTTCAAATAAATAAATCTTCAAATAAGAAAGAAATGTAGGTGCCAGAGAACCAGAGCCAAGACCCTGCCCCGCAGCCGGGAGACATGAAATTGGGGGAGCTTTTCCTGCAATTTGGAGTGAGAGTTGAAGGGAGCACCAGCCAGTCATCCCCAGACCTCAGGCTTGGAGCTGATTCATCCTTTCTTCCTCCCTGTCTCCCCTTCTTTTGTTTCATCCTCTTCTACCTGTACCTTCTCCACTGTATCTGTCATCCCAAGGATCCTGGCTACTCCCCAACCCCGGCTCTAGGTACCCCTCTGCCTAGGCCCGCAGACCCCTCTCTCTCTGTCTTCCCCCTTACCCCCATTTAGGTGTGGCATCTGATGCAGCCAGAAGGAGCTTTTCCATGCATGCTGCACACTCTGGGTTCTGGGTTAAGGAGGACCTAGAGAGCCCAGTCCTCGTCCCACCCAGGTGCCCCACAGGTGCAGGCAGCTTAGGGAGCCTGCCTGGAAGAACAGGAACTGGGGCTGCTTGCCTCCTCTCCCCGGGGAACCTGGGTGTAAGTGAGAGGTCAAGGAGCTTCACAAGCCCTGAGGCCACCTGCTGGTTACTGTCCCTACCCCCATTGGGACTCCTTACTGCTGCAGAGGCTCTTGGGAGCAGCTATGTGGTTGGCAGCAGAGGTGTGGGTGAAGTACTTCTGCTCTGTGGCATCAGCAGGGGGGATGAACGTTACAAATACCATCCCCCTCCTCCTCGCCACCCACCACAGCAGGCACTCACCTCTCTGGGCAGCTGCTTCCTGTCACCTTCTGCAGCTGCCCAGTCATGCCCTCTACAGGTCTCTGTGACGTGTCCTCCTGCCGCCCCTGCCCGGTGCCTGCTGCCCTTGTCCTACATCTGGACTGGCTCACAGGCACCCTGCCAAACGCCCTTCCACCCAGTGGCCACCTCCTTGATCATTCCCCTGGGCCCGTCCTGCTCAGCTGCTCCATCCACCTTGCCTTTCCTGGAACACACTGAAGCTGGCTCCATCTCTGGGACCTGGCACTTGCTCTTCTGTCTGGATTGCTGCACCCTGCCAGGCCCAAGTCTCGGCTCAGATATCACCTCCACCAAAGGCTCTCCTGACCGTCCTGTGTCACGTGGCCATCTTGTCAGCTTCTCTTACAGCAGAGATTGTCCTCGTGGGATCTGCATGGGGACTTCATTCACGGGGCTCTCCCTGCCTGTGGTTCAGTGTCAGGGGCCTGCTTTCTCTGCTTTGTTATCTGATTGCCCACAGGGATGTGACAAGGATCTTTGAGGCAGCAGCTGTCCTGTATTGTGAACAACATCAACCCCCGCCAGGGCCAAAGCCTAACGTGTAGCAGGCACTCAGTTAAGATGTTGGATCATGGAAGATGACATGGGGAAGGAGGTGTGGCCATCTAAGGATGTGTGATGTTGGCAGTGTGGGCATGTGTGTGGTCAGGAGTGTGTAGCCAAGACAAGGGCTAAAGGTGGGCCTTCAGGGACCATCACTCTCAGTGCATAGGCAGAGGATGAGGAGCTAAAGAGGGGAGTTGAGAGAAGGCATCCCTGGAGGGCAGTTAGTAGACAGTGTGCAGTGTTGCCAAGAACTCAAAGAAATGGCCCTTGGGGCAGCACCCCAGGGCCAGCAGTGACCATGCTGGGTTGCCCAGCAGAGGAGGGGTGAGGAGCATGAACCAGGGCCATGTTTCTGTGTCAGGCAGAGCCAGATGGGGCTGTAGACATGGGGTCTGGGACATGGGTCCTCCACCGTGTCTGGTTTTCTCTAGCAGCATGCTCGTGAGTGCCTGCAGCAAAGGGGCCAGGTGTTGCAGGTAGAGGGGAGAGCAGGAAGACAAGAAGATCTGAATGTGACTTGGTGACCAGATGTTGCTTCATTGCTCCATCCTGGGACTGGGCAGATGAGACAGGCTCAGTGGCCTGGCACAGAGGGGTTGGAAAGCAGGAGTTGGAAGTAAAGTAGCTAAGGGTCAGAGTGGCGATCAGGAGGCCATGACACACATGTTCTACACAGACAGATTGGACGTCGTCTGCCCTGTGCAGAGACCCTGAGCTTCCCAACCTCCAAGCCACTGCCAGTTTTCTGAGCTGTGACCACAGTTGTGCTGGACAGGCCCTGCTGGGGTGTGGTCCTCCTGTACTTCTGGTCTTGTGTCCCTAATGCTGTGGGTACTTACTGTCCAAGGTTCTGGAACCAAGTCTCAGACCCTGGAGTTTTGAGAGATATGGGTCAAGAGGATCAGGTTGGAGCTGACATTGTTGTGCAGTGGGTGAAGCCGCTGCCTGTGACACTAGCATCCCATATCAGAATACTTGTTTAAGTCCTACTACTCTGCTTTTGATCCAGCTCCTTGCTACTGAGCCTGGGAAGGCAGCGCACCATGGCCCAAGTGCTTGAGTCCCTGCAACATATGTGGGAGACCCGGGTGGAGTTCCTGGCTCTTAGCTTTGGGCTAGCCCAGCCCATGCCATTGTGGCCCTTTGGGGAGTGAACCAGCAAATGGAAGATCGATCTCTCTCTCTCTCTCTCTCTCTCTCTCTCTCTCTCTCTCTGATTCCTTCTCTCTTACTCTGTCACTCTACTTTTCAAATAAATCTTGAGGGTCAAATTCTGTTTCTGTTTCTTTTGAAAGGAACATGGCCCATGTAGAATCTCAAAAGGCTTGCAGAGTGTCTTTGCTCTGGAGGACGGGGAGCCCCACCCCGGCAGCCCCTCTGGCAGTGTCAGCTGTGTGTGAGCACCTTCTTTCAGAGAGGAGAGCATCGAGGGGGAGTGGCTTGACGGGAGTCACCTGGTAGACCGAGTACTTCAGTGGTGATGAGTCTCCTGGATGGCCAGTGTGGCATGAAGGCCCGAGCTCTGTCTCCTGACTGAGGGAAACCTCTGGCCAGCCCCAAGAGCCTCAGCAGATGTGAGGACTGAGTGTGCTGCGGGGTCCATGCTGAGGTTCTGAGACAGAAGAGACCTATAGGGAACTGAAGAAATCAAAATCCAGTACAGACTCTGGTTAATAACTGGGCAGCAGTCGGGTGGTTCATAGTGGTAGCACATGTACCCTGCTAATGTACAGGGTTACTGGTAGAGACACTGGATAGGGATATCTGGGACCTCTGTGTGTTATCCTCGTAGCTTTTCTAAAACTGTCCTAACAAATGAAGTGTATTTTTAAAATAAAGTGGCAGTAGAATCAAAAGAAAGCAGCCATACCAGGTTAAGTGCTGTGCTGGTCATGTCGTCAGTGGGAGGGCCCTGGGTTACTATGCAACTGCTGTGAAGGTCTCTCCTGACCTTTGTTGCGCAGCTGTTCCACCTCTGTTCCCAGAACAGCACCTACACGCTGTGGTCACAGCAAGGAGAGCGGATATGCCCTTCTCCGGGCTGCCTCCTGCTTCTTGAGTGGCAGGTTGATGATGGCATTCCATGAGGCTCCGTCCTGACTCTCACCCTCACCTGGCAGTCACATCTCCGTGGTTGCTGATACCCCATCTGTAACCCTGGTTTTCTTTGATGACAAAGAAGTCAGGTTTTCTTTTTATTGTTATTTATTTATTTTATTTGAAAGAGCTACACAGAGAGCGGAGAGGCAGAGAGAGGGAGGTCTTCCATCCACTGGTTCACTCCCCAGTTGGCTGCAATGGTTGGAGCTGTGCCACTCCGAAGCCAGGAGCTTGGATCTTCCTCCAAGTCTCCCACGTGGGTGCAGGGGCCCAAGGGCTTGAACCATCTTCTACTGCTTTCCCAGGCCACAGCAGAGAGCTGGATGGGAAGTGGAGCAGCCAGGACTCAAACCAGTGCACATATGAGATGCCAGCACTGCAGGCAGCGGCTTTACCTGCTACGCCACAGCGCCAGCCCCAGAAGTCAGGTTTTCATGTCACTTATGACTCCACAGAACTTGAGAGGGTGATGTTGTTAGGGCAGAAAATGCTGGCTTGGGAAAGGCCTGGGCACGTGGGCAGGCCGCCAGGCAGGGTCAGGGGTGTTCTCAGTTCTGGCTGCCCCTTGGACTTCTTGCCGTCCTAGGTGCCTCAGGTGGCAGAAAGGAAACAGAGCCAGCATGAGGTGGGGCCACAGCCCAACAAGCTTCCCACTCTGAGCCAGGAGGCAACACAAACAGTGGGGACACCTGACACCTGGGCATCCGTTGGGCTCTGCCTACCTGGTCTCACAGTGGCAGCACCTGTGGAAACCCTGGTCTGGACTCCACGGGAGACAGTACTCTGTGTTTTCTTTTAAATTATAGAAATACTTTTTGTTAATTGCAGAAAGTTTACAATCCCATTCCGCAGAGGCCTCTGTTCCTGACGCCTTAGTCCATTTCCCTCACCTCCGACCCAGCCATTTGCTGCTGTCAGAGAGTCGTGTGCATCCTCTGCCTGTCCACTGGCAGGCTGATTACTAACGTCTCCCTATTCCCACGCAGGACACAGCTTGGGCTATGGCTTTGTGAACTATGTCACTGCGAAGGATGCGGAGAAAGCCATCAACACGCTGAATGGTCTGAGGCTGCAGTCCAAGACCATCAAGGTAAAGAGGTTTGCTCCCACCCCACCTGTTCCTTGCCTGGAGTCTTCATGCCAAGGGCCTTGATGCTTTTAGGCATCTGGGGTCCCTGGCAGATACATCTGTCCCAGACGTTATACGAGTGGCTCACAGCCACCTCTGTTCACCGGGAAGGGGGTCCCATGGCAGGAACTTGCACAAGGTCAGTTGCCACACCCAGTCCAGGGCATCTTGACTCCCTCTTCTGTCTCTTGTGCTCTGGGAACAGCCTGGTTGGCTGTACCCCCTGTTGCGGGCTCTTGGTTTACACAGCAGTTGCACCATCCCCATCACCCTGCTTTACCAGGGCCAGTCATGACCCTTTTCTCATCAGTTTGTTCAACAGCTGCTGTGCACATGTTTCCTGAGCACCTACTGTGTGCTCCATGGTGACCCTGACAGATTCAGTGCCCTCATGGGGCTGGGGTGGGGGTGGGGGTTGCAGACAGTAAACAAGAAATAGGACAGCTGCCTGCCACAGAGGCAGTTGTGGGGGAGGCTCTGCAGTGACAGGTGGCCTCCTGGGACAAGTCAGCAGATGCTCAGGCCACACAGACAGGCTTCCTGTGCCTCCTTGTCCTTCTGAACCGGCTTCCTCGGCCCCTCCCTCATTTGGATTGCAGTTCTCCATCAGTGTGCACCCCCTCCCCCGGCCTCTTGTCCCCAGGTAGCCCTACATTTCTCCTGATTCTTGCTCCCTCATCTCTTTTCAGTCCTGGGCACTGAGCCCTGTGACCTGGCTTCCTGTGGCAGCCAGGCAGTGCCTGCCACCAGCCCTCGGGGTGCCCTTGCTGGGTGACCATAGACCTGGTGGTGTACACCTGCCAGAACCATCACTTTGAGAAACACCCTCATGTGAGCTTTTGGCTCTGCCAGCCCCTTCTGATTCACTGGGGCACCCAGGAAGAGACCTTCAGAACTGGCACCAGGGCTGTGCTTCTTGGGCTCTGAGCACCAGTGCCACCAGGGAGTTGTAAATACAGGTGCCTGGTGCTGCACTTTAACCTCCTGAGCCCACTGTGGCATGGGCCCGGATACCCATGCCCTTACCAGCCCACCAGGGGAGTGAGTGTGGCCGCAGCTGATCAGCCTAGAGAGTGACTTCTGTGGCAGCTCTGAAACTGTCCCATGATGTAGGTTTTCACAGTGCCACACCCTCCTTGGAACCGGCAGAACCTCAGTTGCAGGGGGACTTGGCCAGCCTAGCCTCGTGCCAGGAACAACTAGGGCAGGAGTGCCCAGAGGCCCCCACAGTGCAGGCTGGGACAGGCAGCTGCATGGTCGCCACTTCCACCCTCATGGGGGCTTTGGTGTCTTTCCTCAGCCCCGATTGTTTGTCCTTGGCCCAGAGAGGCTGCCTGTCTAGGGAACTTGCCTCTCGCTCACACAGCAAGTGCTCTGCAGATCTTGTTGCTGAGATGCAGGGCTGGCTCTACTTCCTTCTTTGAGACTGATGATGCAGAAGTTCTGGAACATCTCTCCCAGAGGCTGGAGCCAGTGACCATGGCTTCCCCCTCCTGTCGCCCTGTCCTTGTGCATGGGAGCCTGCTGTCTGCTGGCAGCCCTGCCTTTAGTCAGTGGAATCTGGTTCTCAGCGCTTCCACCACTGTCCTAGTTCTGAAGAAGCAGGCCAGTGCCTGTACACGTGAGGGCCCCCGTCTTGGTTCCTCCCACGTCTGCCCTGAGGCCACCTGGGCCCTGCTACTTCCAAGCTTCCCTCCGAGGTGACCTGGGATCCTTTGTCCATCATCAGCAAATCTTTACTGAGCCAAGTGCTGGGCCAGATTCTTGGAGGTGGAGAGACTTCAACTGGTCCCTCTTTCCCCTGCCAGGTCTTTGGTGATAGGTGACAAATGGCATGATAAAGGCCACCAGGGCTTATGTCCGTCCTTTTCCCAGAACTGTCTTCATGGTTAGTATGACACCGCTGTTGTCCTGCAGTTCTGTTCTGACATCAGCCATGAAGAGTTAGTGCGTCCCCCAACAAGACTGCCCTCACCTCAGATACAGGTGCACTGTGGGAGTCCCAGGGCTATCTGCACTTCTTACTAGTGGGCTACAAATTCAGGATTCCCCTTTCTCAGGACAGTTCTGTGCGTGCACTAGCCCTGACCCAAAGTGTGGAGTGACCAGGTGCCTCCAGAGTTCCTGCCCCACAAGCTGACGGGGGTGGCTTGGCCTAGAAGCAGCACAGGGAAACATCCATGGCATGTCCCTGATGGGAAGGTTGCCCCGTGGCCTCTCTATCATGTCCTTGGTGCCACCTCTATGAGCCCTGGTAATGGCTCAGTGCTGTTGTACTCCTGGTTTGAGTCCCTGTCTCTCCCACTGGACTGCATGCTTCTTCCTGGGCAGGGGTGGTCTCTAGTCACTTCCCTGAAACATCACTGGTGCTTTGCATGCATGAATGCCTGTGGGGGGTGGGGGTGGGGCACAGAGCCAGACTCCTACCCAGAGATACCCAGTAGCTCGTCAGTGCTGTCTTACAGTCTCGTCTGTTGGTCTCATCACTCTGTGTCTGCAGAGAGAACGTTCTTTCTTTCCACCAGGTCCAAGTCCCAGCCCTTCCAGAGCAGTTGGCTCCCTGCCCTCTCCTCCTTGGTGTCCCCACATCCTGCTCCCTCCTGCCAGGCCCCCCTGCAGACAAAAGGGCCTCCTGGCTGTCACTCTCACTGGGAATGCGTTGGTCTGTGGGGTCTGCACACCATCAGCCCTGACCCTCAGAAGCATTGAACTCCTTTCCTTGCTGTTGGCCTCGGGGGCTCCCAGGCCTCCGTGGCCAGGGCCAGCTCTCTGTTCTCAGCAGGGGCTGTCCTGTGCACTCAGGCAGCTGCCAGCTCTCCTGCCCACCACACTGAGAGCTCTTCACACGCAGGGACTGGGTCCTGTCCCCAGCACTGGCTTGTCTCCCAGAGCATCACGGAGGATGGAAGGCCGAGGTAGGAAAAGAGAAGCCGAGGCTTGCATCTCGGCCCTGCCAGACGCCACCTGCGGGCCCTCAATGTCTGTACTTCCTGTGATAAGAATAATGTCCCCTCACTATGGATTCAAAGACTGAGTGAGGAGAAGCTGTGGGGTGTCTTGGCTCACTGCCCAGCAGGCGGGGAGCCGTCAGTGTGAGCCATGCGGGGGGAGTGTTGACATGAAAAAGCGCTCGGTGCTCCATCGTTTGCTGCAGCACTGGCTTTTCCTAACCAGAGGATGAGCACCCTCCTTGGAGCTTAACCACATACCTGCCCTAATCCTAGAAAGCGGTCTTGTCTTCAAGGTGTCCTATGCTCGCCCGAGCTCCGAGGTCATCAAAGATGCCAACTTGTATATCAGTGGGCTCCCGCGGACCATGACACAGAAGGATGTGGAGGACATGTTCTCCCGCTTTGGACGCATCATCAACTCCCGGGTCCTTGTGGATCAGACCACAGGTAAGGCAGGAAGCCCGGACGGGGCTTGCTAGGGCCAACAGGTCACTGTTGGGATTTGAATGTCATGCGTTACCCTCACAGTGAAAGGACAGTGGCTTTGGCTGGATGAAGCTGAGGACGTGCAGTGAAGCCAACATTTTATGGTGGCAGCACCGGGAGATTGCAGCGCCTTCCCTTAGGCACTCATGTGCCCTGGCCTTGCCTGTGAACAGGGTGAAATGGCCCCTGCAGTCATCAGTGGAGGCCGATGGGACACAGCTGCTGCTTGTGATCCTGAACCCCCAGTTCTCATCACCCTGCAGTGGCGCAGTTGGCTGCCCCCAGGACCCCTTCCTCAGTCTCCATGGTTTGGGAGGACGTCCCCTCTTGGGAGCACAGATGCTGTGACTTCTCACTGGTGGTCCTGGTCCTGGCCACTGTGTGAGTCCCTCCCAGGCTGTCAGTGCAAGATTTAGGCACTGGGCTGTGTGTAAAGCCATGAGGCAGGGGCAGCCGAGGCCCCCCATGTACATGCCCCAGCTGTGTTCCAGCCCTACTGTCTGCCTGTCTGCCCCTTTGGACTAGGGTCTGGGACCCAGACTTCCCCTCCCAGATGAGGCCAGAGGCTCGGGTTCCTCAGCTGTTACCAGGAGGAGTGGGAATTTGCTGGCACATCAAAAAGAGAGACTGCTGTGGGGCTCAGCAGAGCCCTGGGATCATCCCCAGCTGATGTTTGCATTCTTCCTGCACAGACCCCTTAGCTGGGTAGCTGGGCCACAGGAAGTCATGGCTCTGAGGTGACCCGCAGCACCCCTCAGGCAGCTGCAGACCCCTAGGAACCTTGGGCCCTCGTGGCCTGTGGCAGCTGGGCTGGAGGTGTGCATGTGTTGACCTGCATCCCCCTAGGCTGTGCACCTTGGGGTAGGTGGCCCTGTCAGCCACTCTCCTTGCCACCGCCCAGCTGGGGTGGTTGTGCCATGTACTGGACCTGTCTGCTGCCCGCTGTAGACCTGGGCAGGGGCTGAGGAGGAAATGGATGGCCAGACTCTGCTGAGCTGGAGTGTGGTCCACAGGCCCAGGGTGCAGAATTTCATGAGGCTCTGGGTAAGGCCTGCAGCCTGGCACAGACTTGGGGCCTCATATCGCTGCCTTGGTTCCACCCTTTGGTCTGAAATGGGGTAGGTGGAGGCTGCCGTTTACTTGGTGTAATCTCCTAGTCTGCTCCTGGGGCCCCTGAAGTCACCGTTTAACCTTCAAGTGCTGGTTGAGAGAGAAGACAGTTGACTGGTCAGTGAGCACCAGTGCCCCCTACGCCCCCTACCCCCACTACGGGTCCCAGTTTCTGAGCAGGTGACCATTCTGGTGCTATCACTCCCTTGTCTTCCCGTTCTCTATGCCATACAGGCCCCTAGGAGGCCGAGCCATCAAGTTGGAGCCCCCCATACCTCTGAGGATGCACCCCCAGCCAACTGGCTTTGTTGGGCTCTCACCAGTCTCTGCACACACAGCTACCTGCCACACTAAGGGCGGTCACTTCTGCAGTCTGCTCGCCTTATCCCCTTGCTGGGACTTAGCCTTCTGTGCCTCTGCAAGGGTGGTGTCTCCCTAGGTCCTGGGATGCTTCGCTGTTGCCCCCCAGGGTCAGCCTCAACCCTCCAAGGGGTGCATGGCACCTGTGTTCTCTCCACCCACACCTCTGCCCAGCAAGAAGATATCCCTGAGACTCCCTCTGCAAAGCCCAGCTTCCCCACCCTAGGGTGCAGAATTGTAGACTAGGAAGGTGCACCCCAGGGTTATGGACCTCCCAGGAGGCCCTATGCTGGAAATGGGCTGCCACTTATTGGGACCTGCAAAGGCCCAAAGTGGGGCAGGATGTGGCCATGGGTTTATGTTGAGTTTGCCTCCAGGGGACATGCATTTTAGTGGTCAGGAGACCACGGACATTATCTTCAGAAGTCTTCACGTCTTGGACCAACAAAACTTAACTTTGTTTTTAATTTCTTTGCTTCTTTATTCATCATCATTGTGCACTTTATTGCTCATTCATCTGGAAATTGTGCCTTTTTTATCTTAATTGTGAAAAGCACTGGACAACATCAAAAGCACGGAGCTGTCTCTACAAGTGTACGTGGCACAGGGACACTGCTCTGCAGCTGCCATCCCGCCCAGCAGCTGCAGCTTCCTGTTATAATTGCCTCATGTTAGGGTTCGTTGAGGTTTCTGAGGCTAAGCTCCCGCTCGGCACGGGCACTGTGAAGTCACCGCTTCAACTCAGGAGAAAGTCTGAAACTTTAATTAGTTTATTTAGTTTTGTTTGTTTTAATTTAACCCGTTCATTTGCTTTCATGTTTAGGTTTGTTTTTGTTTGTTTAACCAGGCATCCAGTTCGTACCATAATAGACTGACTTGACTTTTGCTTTTCAGTTTTAAAGTTCCTTGCCTTTTTTCCCCTAACTCCATTTTTGTTGGTTTGTTAAAAAGGTTTGTCCAGAGGGGTTGCGTTTATCCGGTTTGACAAACGGTCGGAAGCAGAAGAGGCAATTACCAGTTTCAATGGTCATAAACCCCCAGGTTCCTCCGAGCCCATCACAGTGAAGTTTGCAGCCAACCCCAACCAGAACAAAAACGTGGCGCTGCTCTCACAGCTGTACCACTCACCTGCCAGACGGTTTGGAGGCCCCGTACACCACCAGGCACAGCGATTCAGGTGGGTCCCTAGGGCAGTGCGCTGGTGGCCTCGCAATGCGATGTGGGAAGCGTTGAGGGCGCCAGGCCCCTGCTGTTAGAAAGGTCTCCACGCTCCAGGACTTCCCGTGGAAGCCAGAGTCTGCAGATGCACAGTGCCTTCCATAAAGCAGTGTGATGTTTGCACAGAACCCTCATGCAGCCAGACCCTCTCCAGATAACTTAGAGACCGAATTCAACACAGAGCTGTGGAAACAGTGGTTGTATCGTTTGGGGAGTTAGAACAAGAGAGGTGTCTGTGTGTTTAGCACAGATGCAGGTTTTTCTCTGAATATTATCCACCCGCAGTTGGCTGAGTCTGCAGATGCAGAACCCCTGGAAGTAGGTGGCCAGCTGTACTTCTCCTGGGTTGTTCTCTTTCCTTGGATTTAAAAAGATAACACTGGCTCCTGGCAGAGAGCATACGGGGCTAACATGGCTTTCTCAGTAACATCAAAGTGGAGCTGTGAGTTTGAAAGATCACTCCAGGGGCAGGCTTGCCACACTGGGTGAAGCCACTGCTTTTATCTCCGCTTGCCCATAGCTCATAGCTGGGATTGAGTCTGGCCTCTGCTTCCCATCCAGCTTCCTGCTAATGCCCAGATGCCTGCAACAGCCACAGTTGCACCAGGCACTCCCATATGGGATGTGGTACTTGGGTCCTGGCACCTATGTAAGAGACCTGAATGGAGCCCCTGGCTTTGCCTGGCCCAGGAACCAAGTACCACATCCCATTAGTAAGAAGCTGGAGCTGGGTAATGAACTCAGCCGATGTGGGATGCAGGCCAGACGCTGGAGCCGCAGTGTGAGCCGGTGGCCTTCTCCATACCCCGCCTGCCTTGTGGGGTCGTTTTGGGTCTGAGTAGTAAATGTGCGGTGCAGGGGCCCAGCCCAGAGGAAGCACTGAGTTGGGCCTGCCTCCCGGGTCAGGTAGAATAGATCCGAGTCAGTAACTTGGACTTGACACTAGGACTGTCACTGCTGCAGGAACAAGGAAGACCTGGTTGAGGGGCCTTTGTGTCTGCTTTTGACTTTGTCAGCACCTGAAGAAGCGGTGTGAGGGCTTTTCTCGGGTGTGATTGGGGTTTTCTCCATGACTTTGTAGGTTTCCCATCTCTTGTGTGCAGTGAGGCTGGGTGGAGCCTGCTTGCCTCCAAAGATGCTGTCTGGAGAGGCGTGTTCCCGGGGTGGGGGGGGGCATTACTCTGCAGCCCACCTGCCCTGGCTTTCTAGTGGAGACAAAGGCTGGGGCTGCTGCTGGCTGCTTTACACAGAATTGAGATGGTCAGCAGTGCTGCTCCTGATGGGATGGGTTGTGGGCAGCAGCAGGTGGTGAGTTACTCAGTAACCAGGAAAGCAGGAGGAGCAGAGGGACTTTGACCGCGGTCAGGGGCCTGGAGAAGCCAGCTGGTGGCGTAGCAGAGTGATAGAGGTGTGGCAGGGGATCCCTGGACAAGATGAGGGGAGGAAGAAAGGCCCAGAGGAGTGGAATGGGCCATCAGGTCCCGTCCTCCTAGAAAAGCTCCCAAAGCAGGGAGGGATCCTATCTCCTTTTGTACTGTCAGAGAAGGGGTCATTGCTGCTGTCAGCTCTGAACCAGCTCTTGGGAGCAGCAGGAAGAACCACTGGCCAGAATGAGTCCTCAGAATGAGAGTCTGTGGCATGAAAGATGGAGCAGTGTTACCTGGGATTATTTTCCTAGACAGCTGTCCCTCATCCTCAGGGGATTGGTCCATGGTGCTCAAGTCTCCCACATGAGGTGGGTGATGTTTGCCTCCAGCCTGTGTGCATCCTCCTGTCTCCTTGAGTCCTCCCCAGATAGCTTCAGTAGCCTCCCACCATGCAAATGCTGTGTAAACAGCTTTCACGTTGTGTTTGGGGAACGCCACAAGAAAAAGGTCTGTGCGTGGTCAGTACAGACACGGTTCTCCTGCACAGTATTGCTGATCCTCGGTTGGTTGACTCCATGGATGTACAGCCCATAGAGAGGAGGGCTGATTGCGATAGCTGTGTAATAAAATAGGTGATGCTCAAAACTTGGGTCCATGAGTTCGGCACCTTTTCTAGGTGTCGTTAAAAACTGGCTGGGCTTAGTGTCCCGAGGATGCCGGGGTGTCCTCTGCGGCCCCGTGTGAACAGGCACTGGGGTCTCACCGTCATCCCAGGTGGCCATCTGAGTCGTTGTTCAACTCGGATGTCCTGTTGGAGCCCTTAACCTCATCCTTGTGATTTTGAAATCACTGCAGAACTGTGTTGTGACTCTTCACCTCCATACCTGCATCAGAAATCACCCTTGGACTCTGAGCTGCAGTCTGGGTGTCTTTTTTTTTTTTTTTTTTTTTAAGATTTATTTATTTGGGGAGCCAGCACTGTGGCACAGTGGGTTAAAGCCCTGGCCTGAAGCGCCAGCATCCCTTATGGGCGCTGGTTCTAGTCCCAGCTGCTCCTCTTCCGACCCAGCTCTCTGCTGTGGCCTGGGAAAGCAGTAGAAGATGTCCCAAGTCCTTGGGCCCCTGCACCCATATGGGAGACCCAAAAGAAGCTCCTGGCTCCTGGTTTCAGATCGGTGCAGCTCCGGCCGATGCAGCCATCTGGGGAGTGAACCAGCAGATGGAAGGCCTCTATGTAACTCTCTTTCAAATAAATAAAATAAATCTTAAAAAAAAAAAGATTTATTTATTTGGGAGGCAGAGTTACAGGTGGAGGGAGGGAGAGACAGAAAGGTCATTTGTCTGCTGGCTCACTCCCCAAATGACCACACCACCTGGAGCTAGGCCAATCCAAAGCCAACCCACATGGGTGCAGGGCCCCAAGCACTTGGGCCATCTTCCACTGCTTTTTCTCAGGCTATTAGCAGGGAGCCGGTTCTTAAGCAGAGCACTCAGGACGCAAACCTGTGCTCGTGGGATGCTGGCATTGCAGGCAGAGGCTTAGCCAGTGACGCCACAGTGCTGGCTCCCTGGGTGTCTGTTGAGAGTGGGTCTGTTTCATGGCACTACAAGCCAGCCACCCACCCCCATCACAGGAGTCTTGCTTAGGCTCACGGGTCCCGGAGCTCAAAGCCCAGTTTTCTTTTGTTTCCTGTTGCCTTGTGCAGCCCCACAGGTGTCAGCAGGGCAAGTATTCTTAAGCTGACCGTCAGGCTGCTCCTTTTTTTAGTATGTGAAAAGTCTTCGAGGCCACACAGCTTCAGTCTTCCTTATTACAACATCCGTGTGTTCTCAGAAGGCTCACTTTTCATGTGGGTGAAAGTGTCCCTGGGAAAGGATCCCATGTGTTTGATGATCTTGCCGTGGCTGGTGTCCCTCCTGGGCCCTGCCCTGTCTCGACTTCACAGCCCTCAATTTGGCCCTGGCCCTTGGGAGGTGTCTTCAGCCAGCCATAGGTGCCAGGAACTGTGGGAAGACGTTTTCCTTATAGCCTGCAGTGGCCCCTGCAGGGTTGTGTGCTCCCCAGACACCACTGGACTCTAAACCAGGGCAGGGAGTCATGAGGAGAGGGAGGTAGACCTCCGCCACTGTCCCCCCATGCACACGTGTGTTCACACACTCCCTGTACGGGAGTCCGGAGCCGGCATGGCACCCTGAGTGCTTTTTGCGGGTGGAGAGAATGATCAGGAGCATCTGCCACTTACAGCGCAGGAAGCTGCGGGGCTGACGGCTAGACAAGACTCCCCGCCACACACACAGTGGGTGGGCAGCCGGTGTCCTTTCCCACAGAGCGTGGGTCCCACCACCCCTGCTCCTCTGCTGCTGAACTGAATTCCTCTGGGTTTAAAAAGCAAAGTGGTGGTCTGACCCTGTGAGTGTCCTGCCCCCACCCCAACCCCACCGCATCCCCCCTCCCTCAGCTCCCTGTGTTTTGGCCTGCACTGACCTTGACCTGAACACTGTGCTCTCTGTTTGCTAGGTTCTCCCCTATGGGTGTAGATCACATGAGTGGGCTTTCTGGTGTCAATGTCCCAGGAAACGCGTCTTCAGGCTGGTGCATCTTCATCTACAACCTCGGGCAGGACGCCGACGAGGGGATCCTCTGGCAGATGTTTGGCCCCTTTGGCGCCGTCACCAATGTGAAAGTGATTCGAGATTTCAACACCAACAAGTGCAAAGGGTTTGGCTTTGTGACCATGACAAACTATGAAGAAGCCGCAATGGCCATAGCCAGCCTGAATGGCTACCGCCTGGGGGACAAAATCTTACAGGTTTCCTTCAAAACCAACAAGTCCCACAAATAACTCGCTCATGCTTTTTTTTTGTACGGAATAGATAATTAAGAGTGAAGAAGTTGAAACTTTTTTGTTAGTGTACAACTCATTTTGCGCCAATTTTCACAAGTGTTTGTCTTAGTCTAAATGAGAAGTGGAAAGGTTTTTATACTCTGGGATGCCACCGACATGTTCAAATGTTTGAAATCCCACAATGTTAGACCAATTTTAAGTTTCTTAAGTTATTTCCTTTAAAATATATATTAAACAGAAACCTAAGTAGACTGCATTGACTAACCAGTCCCTCCGGATGGTGGAGAAGCCGAAGCATGCTCTAACCTCTGACTGTCTAACACGCGTCTCACTCGCTGTCTTCACAAACTGGATAAGAAAAGGATGATCTTTTAGTTTTAGTTCTCAATCTAGAGATGTTAGACAGACGTGGAGGGTGTGTCTTCCCAACCGCGTCCGCATTCTAAGCGATTGATGCTTTGGTTGACAGGAAGCTGCTTTCCGAAGCGGGTCCCACAGCCATCTCCCGCTCGCTCAGTCCTGGGCTCTGCTGAGTGGTCCTGGGAGTGGCAGCGGGGCCCGTTGGAGGTGGGCTGCCACCGGGGAGGGGGCCACACGCCGGGCCAGGCAGGACCCTCCAGAGAAGGACACATAGGTGTTTTCTAAGCCCGGGCACCCATGGGAACGGACCAAAGAGTTTCAGGGAAACTCCAGTGTATTGTAGAGTCAGCTGTCAGCCCCGCACGCCTGCGGGTGTGTCGGTGCCCCGACCCCGAGCTTGTGCCCACACATCGCATGCACGGTGCCCCCACTGCAAACTGTCGTTCACGATGAGCTCTCCGGTTTCCAAGAGCATTTAACATAGCTTGAATGCATAAGATAGCTCTATTTTTTAATAACACATAAACATTTGAGCATTGTATCTCTCGCATCCCTTCTTGTGAGCGCTAGACTTGTTTCTATTTTAGTCGGGTTTTGTTTTGGAATTTTGCTTTCGTATGAACACTCAGCAGAAAAGTACTTACTTCTTGCCAGCTATCTATTAACAAAAACCTTTGATTTGTAGATTTAAAAAGATTAACCCTCCAAGTTCTCTTCATAACTGCCTTGACATTTTGGGTTGTTCTGTTCTGTTAATTTTCTTTTGCTTTTTTGTGTTTTTTGTTTGTTTTTACTTTTGCATTTAAGACCATTAAATTTGATTTTGTTTTGCTCGAATTTTGTTTTGTTTTTTATTTTACCTTTTCTTTCTTTTTGGCTAGGGAAGGTACAATCGGCCCAGCCTTCAGGGAGGACACATGAGAGCTTAAGAAACCAAAACTTCAAGAAGAAAGCATATCTGAATCTGTGACGTAGGAACGTGTGTCACAGGCTGGTGGCTTGAAGTCCAGGAGCTGGTAGGGAGAGGTGGAGAGGCGAAGAGAGGGCCCCCGAGTAGGCAGGGCCAGATCTCCTGTAGCTCTTCAAAGATATGATCTGATTTTACAAAGAACTACTACACAGAGGGTCAAAACCAGATAGCTTAGTACCAGCAGTTTTAACTTTGACATGAGACTCAAACATGTCATGATAGGAACATATTCCATAGTCCTTTATGGGTTTTTTTTTGTTTTTGTCTTTTTTTTTCTTTTTGAGAGGCAGAGAGAGGAGAGAGAGAGTTCCCATCCACTGGTTCATTCCCCAAATGCTCTGCTGGGGAGCAGAAGCCAGGAGGCAGGAACGCAATCCAGGTCTCCCACACGGGTGGCAGGAACCCAGCCGCCTGAGCCATCACTGCTGCCTCCCAAGGTTTGCACTAGCAGGAAGCTGGAGCCAGGAATCAAACCCAGGTCCTCCAACGGGACATGGCATCTTAACATGCCTGCTCCCTGCTTTTTAGTTCTCAGTATCATGGGATTATGGTGTTATTTATTTATTTGTCTATCTAGCTATTATTTATTCCTTTATTTATTTATTTATTTATTTATGTATATATTTATTTATTTAAGTGAAAAAGTGAAGAGGCACAGCCGTCTCCAGAGCAGGTCAGTGTTTGGGGAAGCCCCTGGACAGTACTGCCCATCTCCTGCCCCTTTTACCTGACCCTTCACTAAGGGGCTTTCTGCATCTTCCTTATGTTGAAGGAGTTGGCACGTGGACTCAGGCCTGGTCCCGTCAAAGTCACCATTTCCCCCAGCAGAAGCTCCAGAGCCCTGTCTTCTAGAACCCGAATCAAGGCCCTGTTTGCCTGGATTCGACACCAAGAGGGTCCCTGCTCTGTCACCCCAGAGCGCCTCCCTCCGTGGGACCAGAATGCCTTCCTGGAAGAGTAGGCCTTCCAGATTCCTTGAGCCACATCCTCTGAGTGCAGGTGGGGTTCTGCATGCTGAGTCTCCCCTCCCGGCTCGTTCCCGCCCACCCCACCCTGCCAGGCAGGCTGTGCTTAACATTAAACTCAGAAAGGATGGCGGGCTCACAGCCTGCCCCTCGGTTCTCTCTGAACCTTTTCACCATCTGCTGCTGGGCCCGGTGACTAGGGGCAGAGTTCTCACCACACAACGTAATCTCCACTGTTTGAGCAGCCCAGGGTACCCCTTGAGGGGTTTCCATTCGCAAGCCTGTGGGAAAAAATAGCTAGTGCGGTGTCACTCCCGCACCGAGTGGTCACTGCTGGCTCTACACTGCAGGTTCCTCACTCCTGCCCAGGCCTGTCTGCAAAAGGGAATATCCCTTAAAAAAAAAAAAGTCACAACCCAAAAGGAATTATTTCTTTTTAAACACTTTATGTAGTTTCATCATATTTCTGCTTAGCAAAATGAACTCTCTCCTTTAATTTGGGAATTTTGATACAAAAGCCTGAAGAGTCAGTAATATTGATCATCAGAAACTTGGCTTGATCAACACGAGAGGCTTTGACTGAATTCTCTTTTGATCTGTGTGACCTCCTGGCCGTAAGACCCTAAGCAGCTGTGAATTCACAAGCCTGACTCTGGCTGAATTACCCATTCCACCCCCGGGGCTCACCCTAGTGCCCTAGTTGAGCTTTTCCTTGTAACTTGCCAAGCTGTGGCCTCTGGGCTGGCCATGCCTAGAGTCGCTGTGGTTCCCGCCACACCTCCATCTCGCATGGACGTTGGACAAGGGCCGCCTCTGGCTGGGAGCAGGCAGTGCCCGGCCAGCTCTGCCTCCTTCTGGAAGGAGGTCTCCCTCGCCAAGGGTATCCGCCTTAACCTGTGAGTCTTCCCTTGGCACTAGCGCTGGAACCCCCGCATCCAGGCCTGAACAGGCCACCATAGGGAGCCGAGAGTCTGGGGGTCCCCACTGGTCAGAGAGGCCAGATGAGGGCAGTTTGTCTAAAAGGCGCGGGAAAGACATGGCTGGCCCGTCTGCCCTCAGACCTGGACTCTGAGTTGATGTCACCCATCTGTTCACACTGGAGTCGGCCTGCTCCGACCTCTGTGCACTTTGCACAATTCCCCTCCCAGCACCTCCCTGCCCTGCTGGGACCTGGGGCCACTCCTTAGGAGGGAGCCCCGGAGGGGGTCCCTGACTCGTCCAGATGGCCCTGCAGTCAGCTCACGGACGGCGGGAGCTTGCTGACCCGAGCGGCAGAATCTGAATCTGGACCCCAGACGAGGATCCCCGGCCCTCTAGAGGCTGTATCTTCTCCAGATCTCTCAGTGACGTCATTCAGGTTTTTTTTCTTGGTCATTTAAAGAAAAAAAAATTTTTTAAACATGTAAGTCACTGCAGGTAGCTGTTAGGCGGCCCCATTGGCCAGGTGATTTCCTCACCGTGACTTGCCGGACAGGAGGGGGGCGAACTGGCCACCTGCTTCCCGTGTTGTACAGTAGATGGTTAGACATTTTGTATCTTAGCGTGTTTTAAGTTCCTGACTTGTTTTCTATGAAACACTTTATTTTTCAGGTGCCATTTTTCATTTTAACTTTGTTTTTACTTGGGTTTGTCTCCAATAAAGTTTTGACACTGCTATCCAAGTCAACAATAAATGAATCCCATTGTGTTCTTTTAAGGATACTTTATGTAACTAGCTTTTTTTTTTTTTTTTTAATGATTTTCAGAAAGGAAAAAAAAAAACCCTATTGGTTTTCCATCTCCCCATTGCTTTTTTTTTTTTTTAAGCCTTGTGAATAAATGTTCTTTAGTGTTTTAGGAGGAAGAAGCAAACCTAGATTTTGATAAATCAGAAGATTTCAGATTAATAACGAAGCTTTGAAAGACCATTTTTCAAAATTTTAGTGAAGTGTGAATATTTTTTGTCAATGGCTTTCTCAAAGAGAATGAAACTTTTGCACCATTTTCAGAGTTTTTATAGAGATGCCAAATTGATATATTTACATGTAATGGAAACATGAAAAAGTTTTATTAAACAATTGTTCATAGCTGTGTAGACATTTTAATTCAGTTTCCAAAGCTCTCAAAAAAAAAAGTATTTTTGAAGTACGGAGTGATACGGTTTGGGGTATTACGACTGATTCCAAACGACTCAATTGTCCAAATATTCAGTTCTTTCCGCAGGTATCAGGTTTGTTTTCAACACTGTATGTTAACAATGACTGGAATTCTGTGATATTTTGGTAATAAATGAAGTGGGATAACTGAGATGTGAATGGTGTAGGGGTGATCATGTGTGACACACCCAGGTGACCTCCTCCTCCACAGGTACGCCTGGGCCAGGCCATGGCCTTGACCCCTGGGAGGAGGGCAGTCAACTGAGGACAGCCTGGCTGTGCTGCTGGGTTTCCTTTGCCAGCAGCTTCCCCGTGGGAGCTCCTGCCCTGGGCTTCCTCCTCTCTGGGGTGGGCTCACAAGCTCACAAACCCATCCTCTCCAGGCTCCCAGGGTCCCTGGCTGTGACCTGTCCACCCGTTCCCCATGCCAGCCCTCCCCAGCTACCCACACTCCTTTCACCTGTTGGTGCCTTATGGATCCCACCTCTACAGAAGGACCATAGTCCAGCCACTCCTGGGTCCCTTACCGAGTGGCCTCTGGGATCCGTCTCCTTTGGGTTCAGAGAGGAATATGAGGGTTAAGTCACCCAGAGGCCGCACGGCCAGGTGGTTAGGGGTCTTGGGGTCAGAGTCTTAGGTTTGAATCCTGGCTATGTCCATTGGAGTGAGTACACCACTGACGGAGCCTCAGGTTCCCTCTCTGTGAAATGGGTCCAAGATGCCTGCATCCTCATGGAAACGAGAAAGGATCAGGTAGGCAGCACATTGGCCTGGGAGCAGGGCTAGGGTGGGGTTCAGAGGAGCGGCCTGCTCCCCCAGCTCTTCTCAGCTAAGGCTTTGTTTAGCATGTGTGCCTGGGGCTCTAAGCTCCTCCTCTCTCTCTGTCCTCTCTCTCATGTGCAGCTAAACCATCATGCTGGGGAGGCCTCAGGCCTGAGTGCATCCAGTTCCTCCAGGGGCCTTGCTGAGCTCTGCTCTCACAGGCCTGGGGTGGGCCTGAGAGCCTCCCAGTGACCCTGGGGTCCAGGGGTCCTGCACTGCCCCCCTCCTGTACCATCACCTCTGGTGCTAGGGGCAGCAGCCATCCTCCCTCACCTTGGAATCCAGAGCCCTGAGGGCCCAGCCCCAAGTGAGGCCCACCTGAGCTGTGGGAGTGCTTGGAACCCAGCCCATTCCCCCCAGACCTCAAAGTGGGCGTTCCTGGTTCCCCTCTCGATCAGGTCTGCCGCCGGCATCCTGTCATTGGGGATGATTCCTCAGCACAGTTTAAAAGGGTTTCCAGAAGAGTAGGAGATAATAATGGACACCACACTGTCATGGAGAAGCACCACTGATGTTTATTAGAGGAAGCTGGGACCATGGACAGTGAGAACAGCTGCCTGCCCTGCCCTTGGCCGGCCGGAGCAGGATGGGCAAGCTCTCTGACAGGGTCCCTCCAGGAAACCTCCGGAAGCCCTGTACAATCAGAGGCCGCTGGACTTAACCACATTTTGGCTCTGAATGGTGGAGGGAGGGACCCTGGACCCATCCACACCCCAGGCCGTGGCACTGAAGCAGCAGGTGGCTAACTGGGAGAGGTCTCCAGCAGCCAGCCTGGGTCGCCAGGCGGGACTGAGAGCAGTATCTTGGTTTTATAGCAGACTTCGTGCCCCTTGCTTGTACATCAGCCAGGAGCAAGGTGTTACTCTGGGTGTCCATGCACCCATCTTACAGATGAGAACATTGGAGAGAAGTGAGGTGGAAAGCTGGTGTCGTTAGTGCCAACGG